CTCATTCTATTGAGCCATCCCCCTGGCCCTCTCCTTTCTACCCATAATTTAAACTCTTCTTTTCCTCATAGATCCTTGAGAATAAGAAGTAGAGTATTGGGCCAGGGAGATAGTTCAGCAGCATAAGCGCCTGCCTGGCAACTGCAAGGTCTAGAGTTTGATCACCGGGACAAAAGAAGTAAAATATTACTGAGTCCACATCTCCGCATCTCAAAAACAAAACAAAACAATCCAATCCTGGACCATTAACGTGATCTGGGTTCTAATGTAGAAAACAAAGAATAAGAAAAGCAATCTCCAGGGGCCTGTGAAGACAGCTCAGTAGACTAAAACAACTGCTTAGGCAAGCACAGGGACCATGGTTGGATCCCCAGCACCACATGCCCCGCAGGCCTCACCCCCAGAGTGGGCTGAGCGGGCCACAGAGTCAGAGTATAGTGGTGAACGCCTGTAATCCCAGAGCTGGGGGGCTGAAAGTGGGAGGGAGGGTCACTATGAGTCTGAGCTGCATAGTGAGACCCTGTACAACCGAATACATTAAAAAAAAAAAAAAGCAATCTCCAGGGAAGACACACGAGCTGCTACCCAGGGTCAGCCTGCACAGGCAAGGGAGCACTGCGCTGGGAGGTAGAAGGCCTGACTGACTGGCTCACTTTGCCTCTCAGAGACTCAGTGTCCTCATTTGCAAAGTGGGGTAATATGTGATCTCAAACAGAACCACCAAGGGAGATCATCCCTGTTAATTTCATTGGACTGACAGCTTCTCAGACTTTCTTACCCAGTAGAAAAGAAGGAGAAAATACGTCCACAGTATTTGGGGCCAAAACCCAGACAATAGTTACATATGTTTAAAAAATAAATCAATTCCCAACACAAACCCAAAAAAGCCCCAAACAAAAATCATATGAATTTGGATCCTACTGCATATTCTATGTTTATTCTAATATACAAATGTTTTAAGTTGCTTTTGATCTCCCTTTTACCTTAATTGTTAAGACAAGGTATAGCAAATACAAGTTATAGACTAGAAGTATACTTGTTTATTATTCTTTTTTTTTTTTTTGCAGAACTGGGGATTGAACTCAGGCCCTTGTGCTTGCCAGGGAAGCGCTTATTCCACTGAGCCATCTCCTCAGTCCCATTACCTTAATTGTTTAGTCAGTTTCCTTAGCTATAAAATATGGATAATAATGTTCCTATCTCACAGGGCATTTATGCAAATTGGATGAAATAAGGCATCCACAGTTTCTGCATAGGAAATGGGTGGGCCATGTCAGCTGCTATATTAGGGTTAATTTTTTTTTTTTTTTTTTTTGTATTTTAGGGAAGGGTTTACAGGGTGTTCAGGGTCTAATTACTAGATCAGACTCGTAGTGATCTGCCTGTTTACCTCCTAACTCTTTTGCTTCCTAAGAGCTGGGATTACAGGTGTGCGCCTCCACACCTGGTCTCAATCGCCTTCTCAGGGCAACCTGAGGCGGGGTTGTCACAGCAGGGCCAGGGATTGAACCCCCAGCCCCTGCACCTGCTTGCAGGGGCTTTAATCCACTGAGCTATTTGGCCAGCCATATTAGTGTTAATTTTGTCCTCACTAGTTAATTCCTTTCCTTTCTATCAGGATCCACCCAAGAAAGAATGACTGAGGGCTCACTGTGTGCTGAACACGCATGGTTCCTACCAGGCCCCGGATTCGGAGGGCTGCCTGTTCTGCAGCTTCTGCCACCAGGCCTAGCCCAGGCATTCTGGCACCAGGTGTGCAGTGGACCTGGCTAGGTCGTAGGACAAACACCAAGACCGGTACCTGGGAGACGAAGATGCAGGCTCAGCAGGGGACAGACTCAAGACCACTGGGCCCAAGTCTCAGTTTATCAAAGGGCCTCACAATTACATTCCTGCTGCAGCCTCCAGTTGATGCAGTATTCAGACAAGAGACACGCTCATCAGGGAACTCTACCTCCCACCCCATGACTAGGCTCCTCAGCCTGTAAAACCCTGTGAATAAGGGCCTGCAAAATGATGGGGAAAGCATGATTATTCTTCACTAGACTTTTAGGGACATGCGAAAAGCAATTGTGTTAAATTTCTGTATCTAGTCTCAGCATTCTTAATATGAAAGTTGCAGAAAGGACAAGTGGGTCAGGTGTCTTTCCACCTCTGAGAGGCTTTGGGGGTAGAGAGGGGGACTGGGCACAAATTCTAGAAAAGTGTTTGAATTCCCTAGAGGTCTTACCCCAAGGCGGGGCCTAAGTGCAGGCCTGTTAAACACCTGGTGGTCACTTTACAGTCAAGAATGCCTGACTCAAGCCCAGTCAACCACAATTCTGGAGCAATAACAGATAATCCCAACCACACCCACAGGATGTCAGAGAAAGCAAACAGGCCTCGGGGACCTGCTGAGGGGGTGGCAGGGATCCAGGCCTCTTAACCTCTTTTAGTTCAGTTGCTTTTCTAGTTTTGCTTTGGTTCACGATGGTTTAATTGGCTCTTAAACACCACCTCCCACCCCTAGGAACCTCCAGGGCCTCTACAGCATCTCTTACAAGAACAGAAGAAGGTTTTCTTTCAGCTGGTGGTAGGCTGCCCTCAAAGCCTTGATAGAACTCTGCAAGTTTTATTCCCTTATAAGGTACATAGTCTTTGTCTAGTGACGCTTTTCCTGGTTCCAGAACTAAGATATTTGCATATATGCTGCAGAGGCAAGCTGCCAACTCCACGTTGACAGTCCCTGGTCACGGTCATTGACTCCACAGAGGAAAGAGAATTCATCAGGTGCCTGCTTCCACTCCCGCGTGCAAGCCCTTATCACGGTGCATTCTTTCCCCAGTCCCATAGAGCAGACTTCACAGAGGAAATCACCTTGGTTCAGGCTGCTCAAAGGAGGGTCGGTGTTAGAATCTGCCTCTAACTGAAAACATAAATAAAATATGCGTTTTCCCACCACCTGACGATCGGGCTGCTGGCTGGTGCATGTCAGTCACATGCCAAGCTTTCCCTTTCCTGGGCTTGGACTCTTGGGCAAGAGTGGACTCTCCCGGCCCCTCTCATTGAGTTAGAAATTGCGGCTGCGGCGAGGCAGACCTCTGTTCCAGCAGCCAGCGAAGACCAAGAATGCCTCCCCTCATCCCACCTGCTGACTCCACCATCTGCTAGTGCAGGATCCCCAAGCCAGCACGCAGAGAAGTCATTTTGGCAAAGTTATTACATTTCACTTCCCGATTTGGTAAAGCCTGGCATCATCTTCCTTAAGGCAAACCCGTGCCCGATCCTCTCCCTCTGATGCCAAAAAAGAATTTAAAAAATAAAAGAACTTTGCAGGCAACAGGAGCCAAAACTGACAAGGTTGGCGACAGCAAGGAAAAGGGGGTGTTTGTACCAGGGCTTGCTGGATAATTATAAATGCTTAGCTTCCCTGAAAGACTAAGGCTGAATTCAGGTTCCCTTTCTCCCTAGTCATGACCACGACTCACCGGTGGCGTTTCTTCTAAGGTTCACCTGTCAGAGGCTTCTGAGAAATGACTTGGACTCTTCTCGCAACCCGGAGGCACAGCCTCCTTAATTCCTTCCTCGTTTGGGAGCTGCCAAAGTGCTGCAGTGTTTTGCTTTCAAAGACCGCGATTTGATTTGTCGATTAACCTGTCAATCAGAAGCCAGCGGGGATTTCGAGCAGACGAATGGCTGAAAGGAGGGACTGGGCGGGACAGCCTTTGGCTATTGGCCACGCCGCTAAGCTTGCTTGAAGCGTAGGGGAGAAACCTGGGACCCGACTGAAGCTCACCTGGAAGGGTCCCCACTAGCGGCCACGGGAAGAACTGTGGAAATCCTCTTCCCATATCGCAGGTGGAGGTGATTGCGCACCTCCAGCTGCGGGACAGGTGAGCTCGGCTTCAGTAGCTGACCAGGGATCTTCGTTCCCACCAGGTGTTCAAATCCTAAACGTCAAGACCCAGGTCTCCCAAAGCCCTCGCGGGTAATGGATACCTGTCCTGCCCTCCCCTCCCGAGCCACCTGTCGTCTGCTGCACAAACTGACTAGCACCTGATTACTGTTTCCCCAAGGTTCGGCTGTCGTAAACATGCGATGGAGCTCTGTGGGCGACAAAAAGCAATTTTTCATCACACATATTTTCATGTGCACGCATTTTGCTTAGATCTTAGCGGCAATCTCTGCGTGAGACATTAGGCGCATGCCGATGTCACCGACAAAGAAGGAACATTTGGGACAGATCTCCACGATGTCAAAGAGGCACTGTGTACGGGTCCACATCGTAGGGCAGGGACAGCTCAGAGAGAACACGTAGGCAAGGACAGCGCTGGCACCTTGTGGCAACTGCCCACAGGCCAGAAGTGCTGCTGCGAGACGTTTCTGGGGTGCGGGCGGCCAGCGAGGACTGTTCCAAGGTCAGCTTGTGTTTGTGTTTCGTCCTCAAAAGGGAGCCATTGGAGGACTTAAGCAGAGAAGCGACAGGATCGTGTAGTTGCACATACCAATCTTTGTAGTCTATCAGAAACAGGGCTTGGATACTGGTGATTCAGGTTACACTTGGATAGTTTTTGAGTGAGAAAAGAACTTAAAGCTTTTGAACTATACCAGGAATTTTGATAAGGACCCCGTTAGTTCCTCCACAGGTCCTTGGGATAACTGATTTAACCGGAGACTAAAATTCTGGCAGCTTCCCTGCAGATTTTGAAATGGGTCTCTTGATTGGTCAACAACTTTTCACGCTAAAGAAACAGAGGATACCATTGGCTAGAGGTCGCAGGCGGGCAGAAGGTAGAATGCAATTGTTAGTCTGGTGGTTGCCATAGAGACCGGGAAGTCTAGCCAGCCGAACAGAACCCTTGGGCAGAAAAGGCAGGAGGAAGTTGCGGTTGGGGGACCAACCAGTCAGTCCTTGAGGTCGTGAGGAGGAGGAGGACACGGCTTACTTCATGGCGCACCCACTGAGACCTCCGGCCTCTGGGTGCGTGCAGAATGACTGTGTTGAATGAGGTGGTCCCCTGAGGCGGGAAAGTACTCTTTCCTGAGGACATATCTCCAGTGTCCCTCATAAAAAGTGTTCCCACGCCACGCCTTCTTCACAAGAGCCTCTGTGAGTGGCATGAGGATCTCACTCCTCTGCCTCAGCGTTGCGAGCACACAGCTTTTTCTGAGCTCCAGGGCTGGGGGCCCTAATCCCAGGCCAACCCAGCTACCTGGGGTGGGTGTCCCTTAACAAACACCTTTCTTTCTCTGGGCCTCGGCTTACCCACCTGTAAAACAAGAGGATGAGGTGGAGATCTAGGGATCATTAGCTGGTGCTTAGGTTCCCTCCTGATCGTGGACACACTCTCTCAGACTAAGAAAAATAACAAATGGGTGGTTCACCCGAGAGTCCTTTGAAAAGTATAAAACGCTCCCAGGATGCTAAATAGCATTATAACTGAATGGAGAAAAATCACCGGTACTCAAATCTACTTATGCAAATGTGACAACACCTCACATAAAATAACAGTAGACTTGGTTTAGTATATGTTGATATGTATAAAGCATATGCTACTATAATTTTTTAAAAATTTTTTTCAAAGAGAACAATAAACAAAAATGATACAAAATTTCAAAACAAGATGACAGGAAATTAGCAAGGATTATGATATTGCATATTGTTATCTTCAAAGTAGTTGCTCACATTACCAGATACAGGCATGCAAAATTGATCAAACAATATAAGCATTTACTGTTCCTTTCAATGAACTAATGGAAATAAGTAGTACAAATATCTTAGCTATCTTGTGTGCAGTTGTTCTTTTCTCTTGAACTCAAAAGAATACTATAATTTAAATGTATAAAATATAGTAATAGTGTAGCATATATCATAACTTCTTCATAAAAAGTTAATAAAATGAAAGCACACCTATTGCTGTAACTAAATTACATACTTACAGAATGTAGCTCTGGGAAGATCATAAAGTAATAAATACACAGACTAGTTTTGGATACTGTTAAAAAAGAAAACAAAAACAAAACAAAACAGGAAAGTCAGCCTTGGTGGTATACACCTATAATCCCATCCCTTGAGAGGCTGAGGTAGGAGGATTGCTGTGAGTTCCAGGCCAGCCTGGGTTAGGTAGTGAGTTCAAGGTTCGCATGAACTATGTAGCAAGACCCTGTCTCAATAACAATAATAACAATAACAACAATGCAATAAAAAAAAGACAAATGGGGGGTGCTTCTTGAGAGAGAATGGTTGGTGAAATCACTCCTAAGGTTTGAGGAGAGACCTAGATGAATCTGGTCATATATAGGATGAGAGGGTACTGCTCTTTATATATGGATATATGGGAGTGGGTGAGAAGAACCCACCCCCATGGTTGGAGGAGACGTTGGAAATGCAGTGAGATCCCAAGTGGGGAAGAGGATTTGTTTCTGGATAATGAGATATGATAGCTGTTGTCAAGTTCTTGAAGGACAATCCCATATAACAATGGTTTTCAAAAACATGTGGACTCTGTTCATGGTTAAGAAGTGCATCATCTATTATGACCCAGTGTTCACACACACACACACACACACACACACACACACACACATCACCAAAGACTATGGACTATTAAATTTTGAAGCGCATCAGTGTACCAGAGTGGTGATAGTTACGTTGAGTTGATTCCAAGGGTTCAAATTAGAACAACTTAAGAAAGACCAGTGTTGATATGGGAAGAGACTGTCTAGCAATTAAAACTATCCAACAATGAACTACCTGGAGGATTTTCAAACTGTGTTCTGGGGAATCCTAACATTCTGTGAAAATTTGAATCTGTGTTAAATATTTGCTTTATATTTTGAATATATGTGATACCCTAGCTTTTTTTTTTTTTTTTCGGAACCAGGGGATTGAACTCAGGCCCTTGCACTTGCCAGGGAAGCGCTTATTCCACTGAGCCATCTCCCCGGCCCAATACCCTAGCTTTTAAACACCACCCATACCCACTCAGTGGTACTGAATGTCGAAGTTTAGCATGCTAACAGTGTGTACTAGGGGTTTTCATAGAAGTTAAGGGTAAGCAGAATTATACTTCCTGAGTTAAAACCCTGGTTCTACCTTATTTCTGGTGTAACCTTAATACCAATCACTTAACTTCTTCACCTTGTAGCTTCTTCCTAGGTAAAATAGGGGCTTCACCATGCTGAAGGATTGCAAGGATTGCATGAAACGTTCTATACAAGGCATTTAGGACTATAAGAGTTCAATAAATGTCAGCTATAGTTTATGCTGTTAATACAGTATATCTATCATCTATCTATCTATCTATCTATCTATCTATCTATCTATCTATCTATCTATTGGAATCTAACAATAAAAACCTCCTGCAGGCCAGTCAGCATTAACTATTTGTGTGGATCATGCTTAACTTCACGCACCTGAAAAGGAAGGTACTCTTATCATTTCTAGTTTATGGAAGAAGAAATGGGCCTAAAACTTTAAATGACTCACCTAAAATCAAGCTATCAAGTGGCAGGGTGTAACCATGAAACTAGGACTGGATGCATGGTGTTGGCTATGACAATAGTGTATCTTCAGTCCTCATTCTTAAATGCCACAAGCAGGGGCACTAGTGAGGCGCACCTGCCCAGTGCCCCAGCCACACCTGGGCTGCACTTGTTCTTCTGTCTTCGTTTGTATGCAGTGGAAGACCACAAAGCATCAGTAGCAGTGCTATCTTTAGATGGTAGGGCTAT